TCTAAAATTTAATTAAAACCCTAATTTTTACTATCTAATAATAAAGTGCCACCAGCATGTATGCTGCACGCAATTATTGATATACATACAAAATCAAGAGCAAGCACTCGTACAGCCCGATAGGAATTTTATTTGATAGGAAACCAAGATCTTTGCAGAAATTTCAAAATTGACAAACGTCACAATTAGCCCATATTAAATTAACTGCACGCTTTTGTTTAAAGAGTTTAAAACTCTGATCATGAACTTCATAAGTCACAGAAACATGTTTAACAAATCTTTACTTGGAATTTTCTTTGCTTACAGATACACTTACAGATACACTGCTGAGATGTGCAGGAAAGTCCTACAATTCTTCAGCTAGCCGTGCTAAAGAGTAATGTTATCGATATGTAATAAAATAAACAATAATAGTAATAAAAACAACAAATCAACAACATCCAAGCAAATTCACCAAAAGGCAAACATACTATAAACAAACGAAAACTAATGGTGATAATAAAAAAAATGTACATTATTAACATTTTATTGCTAAGGCTAACACTTTCTTGGAAAAAGATTGTCACTAAACCTAAACAAATCACAAATTGCATTGTTATCTAATTTTCAATTACCAAGCATGAAATTAAAAAAAAATTAAAGCCATAATCAAAAATTAACAATAATAAACTTTTTATTATTTTAACATAAATTATAGTATAAATGTAATTAACGAATAACTGTAATTTTTCTCTCTCCGATTTGTTACGTTCTAAATATTTGTAGAAAGTAACAAGTCAATATCATTGTTAGTATTTCAGAATATTGTATGACAAAACTTGACTATGATTTAATTTCATTATAAAATATATATGGACATTTTATATGGTGAATATGGTATGTTGTGTAGTGATTTCTAAATTAGTATTGATTTATGCGATTGTTTTTTGTTCACTACACATCACATCAGATTCATCTGCAAAAAAAATCTATATTTGTATTATATATGCTTTCACTACTCTGTTTGACCAAATCGCTGATAAATATCGAAAACAATCTTACAGTTCTCTAATTAAAGAAAATCTTTCCTACACATAAGTACATATAGAAAGAGATAGAACATACTAACATGGTTCATATTAATGGGAATATGAGCGTGACAACAGTATACTAGTAGTTTGCAACCATGATCTCTGTGTTAAAATGCAGATATCCTACCTTTTGAACCACCGCTGTCCGTAGTGAAAGTGTGTTTGGTCCGATATTGCTTAATGTTAAACTTTATTAAACAAATTCATTCAGGCTGAAACTTACGATCATTTTTACAAGACATAACGGTAGATTACTCAGCGATCAAGTTCTAGATATTCGTATCTATTAACGATATAAAATGAAAATTTTAAATATGTTTATTGATGAAAAAAACCAACAACAATAAAACAACAATGTTCATTTTTGAATACACGCATTCATTATATTTCCAACTTACATTAATTTATTTATAAAAAGAAAAGCCGCATTTCGTTTTTAGGGATAAATTTTCATTTTAAAAACAAGCTTAATTTGCTAAAAGGTAAAGAAGCTTAAATTAACAATTTCAAACATAAGTGCTTTGCATAGATGCAAATTAAATCTTAATAATATGTCTTAGTATTTTTCTTTAACATGATTTTCCATAAATAAAAACTGCCTTGTGAAAAATTAATGCATTTTAAAGAACATAAAAGATAGCACAAAGCTGATAAAATATTTTATGTAATTTATCAATAAAATTCTAGAAATTCAGTTCTCTGTCAAATTATTGTAAATAATAGACAAGTAAATATATGGTCGAATAAAAATGTAATGAACATAAACAATTCTTTGCAGATTGTACACAAAAAGTTCTACATGCATAATCTGTAAAAAAAACTACAACAACATCAACGAAAATAAAAATGAATCTGAATGATTAGTTTTGTCATGTTAAAAATGATGTACACGCATTTTGAAACCAAAATATAATTTTAACCATTTTTATACTTATAATTAATAAGCAAATTCATGTCAGTCACTAGAACGTCAATTCATTAATCTGTCAGTATCACCAACAAAAAAAAAATACAGTTCATGTGCATATATTCAAGATATAATATAATAATCAAAGGTAATTTGTAAATATCATTTTAATTCAAACAGATAAGAAAAACATATATGTAACATACCCGGCAAACTAACGATACACTTCAAAAATGTGGTGTTTTGAGAAACGAGCGAACGGCATTTCTGAGATAGATCGGAAGGCCGATTTAGGTTACGTTTATGTTTTTGTCTTCTTATTCATTTAAGTTGTACTCTTTCAAAAATCGATAACAGTAAGTCCGTGAGGAATTGTTTAAGTCTTCCAATAATATGAAAATAAAATTAAACAATGTGAAGGGTAGGGTAAGTTTGCCGGGTTATAAATCTTAATACATTAATTATACAGTTATTTAACCTAACAATTTGTTCTCAGTAGATTGATCACTTTCCCGCATACAGAAAAATGAAAACAAAATAATATAAGCATATTAGATAATAATCTAAAATAAATTATCATTTTCATTCTTCAAAATGAATCTCTCTTCAAAAATGCACAATAAAATGCAACGCTTCATCATATACTTAAACATTAACTTATGGAAGTACACTATAATGATAATGTCTTTGTTACCTATAGTCTTTGCCATAAGTTGTTTGTGTTTGTGAAAGGCAAAATACAAATTTATTGCTGATTGCTATTAAATTGCAACTTGAAACTGGATAAATCTTACATTTACAAGTTAAAATATTAATGAAAACATCATCATCAGCATCACCACAAATCTCACATGCTATCATTGTTTATGACAATGTACAAAAACTGTCCGAGTTTTTTAAAATTGCAATGCATTGATATAGAACATTAAATGATGAAAATAATCCCAAAAATGTGTTTCATTTTCGTAGCACTCAAACATATCAACTAAATATACACATCAAAGTAAGGTGCCGCATAAAAAAATGTTAGAGAAGAAATTGAAAAAAGCTTAGGCAAATGTCTGTAATAATTCGTATTTTATAAAGTATGTTTTCACTATTTCTGAAGGTCACGCGACCATATAAAACTGCATCTGCATCAACATTGAACAAATTATCTTTTTTCCTACTGGTTACCTAGATTTCTATCCAATATCTAAAAAAAATGCATTTTACTAGACTACAAATTAAGTGCAAGAAAATATCCATGTAGATTGAAGTATTTACATGTATAACCTCGGATTTAATATGTGTTATTAGTTGTGTCATATTAAAAAATGATGCATACACGCATTTTGAAACCATATTCTAATTATCATCATTTGTGCATAATTAATGAGTAAAGTCATTTCATTCACTAGTAAATCGTCAATCTATTGTTATTATCAGTACTATCATTTGAAAAACACTACATATGCAGAAATTCATATGATATAATTATAAGTTTGAGATAATACAATTCATAAATGTAACACAAATGCTAAAATAACATAAAATAAATATTAATACAGTGAAATACGTATTACACAAACAGTGTTTAAACTAAACGAATTATTCATAGCCACTGGATCCATACCTGCATACAGAAACTTTGAAACTCATTAATAAGAAAATCAGTTTTTAATCTAAAATAAAATTATTGTATTTGTTGTTTAAATGAAGATAATTTGCCTTTTTAATCATGCTACATAAAATGGGTGGCGCTTCCCAATTTTTCTGGATTATATGTATGTTTATAGTTTATATTTCTAAAAGAAGTGAAAATGTTTTTCCATACATCAAATAGAAAGAATATTAAAACGCAAAATAATAAGAAATCAAATAAACACACTTTAATTAAATTATATGCATTAAACAAATATAACACACACACACAGGCACACAGACACGCACGCACGCACACAGGAACACACACACGCGCGCGCACACACGCACACACACACACACACACACACGCACACTCTCTCTCTCTCTACTTTAATTAAAGTCTATATAAATACAAAACAATCTTACATTGTAAATGATATTATCATCATCAACTTCATCATCACGTCAAATGTCATTAGCGATCATTGTTTTCATCATTTTTTAGAAAAAATTTCCGAGCTTTTTATTATATGCTGTCATTGCAATTCACTTACAAAGAATATAAATAATTTAAATGGAAAAGGAATTAATTGTGATCCTCATTCAATAAACGCGTTTCAAAACTGGGTAATACATATACCAGCAGTATTTCAACCTTTTTATTTTGCTCTCGCACACACTTCAAACTATTCTCTCAGCATTGCGGACGTGATATTGATAATGACCTGAATCTCATAGATATTAGCGTCCTTCAATTGTCTTTCTTTTATTTGTATTGTAAGCAATATTTCTGACGATTTTGTGTTTAAAAGATATGTGCAAACTTTGCTTAGTACCTTAGTTCTATTTGTGATTGGGCTATTAATTTGTTTGTAACAAATGTAATTTACTATAACATGACATTTATCATGCACATTTTTTAATAATAATAATAATAATTACAAGTCCAAAATATTTTGTGATAATATCTTCAAATGTGCGTCGTCGTAATTGAAAGTTGAAAAACAAAAATAACATTCTGCTGTAATACACATTGGTTTTTCAAGCAGAACAACAGTGTCATTTAAGTTGTTATTAAACAAAACATTGCCCTCTTAGACATACATTAATCTTCTTTACACATATATATTTTTAGTCATTATCATGTTTACTGCTGCAACTTGTTTCAATATGTCTCACTAATGCAATGATTTATTTACAAACAGTTCCGTTTCTGTATTATTAACTTAGAAATGTTGTCCCGACTTTAAATCATTCAAAAATTAGCATCTATTAGGTTTACCTTGCTCTTGATACAATTTTTTCGGCAAATAAATGTATTTCTGTTTTAAGTTTATTTTAGGAATCTTATGTTTTAATATTATCATCTACTCGAGTTAGTGTTTAATGTAATTTCTTTATAGCGTAGGCTTACAAGCAGAATAGACTTTATGTAGACTCTCCTTTGCCGCTGATATTGTAATTGTGCTCCAGGAAGAAGGAATATGATCGACCTGATAACCATGCCTCTCTTTTAGTTGATCTTTGTATGTCGCCACAAACCACATCCAAAATTCAGATGAATCATGCATATTAGATGATGGTGCTATGTCCCAGTTTGGAAAGTAAGTTTTATAATCCCTATAATGGTGTTTTTTTCCACAGTCTTCTAGTTTTCCATTATTGCAAACGTAATTGAAAACACGACAAGTATGTGTTTGGTCTGATTGAACATCAAAATTGCATGATTCCAAGCATGCTGGCTTCGAAGAATTATCAAGAAAAGTACCCTTGCAGCACGAAGGACGATGCTGTATGCTGTAATGTTTGGACCCTTTATGGTACTGATCCTTTGCACACGGTTCTCCACAAAAAGCACACTGTTCTTTACATCCCCATATCTTTTCAATTATAAGCGTTACAGGATTAAAACCTACCCATTTAATTGTGTTACTCTTCTGTGAATTGAACTCGGAAACAAGTTTTTTTTCAGAACTGCTCAAATATCCTAAAAGTTTATTTGTCAAATGTTCCACGTTTTGTATACTAGATGATGTTTCATGTCTTACATTACGAAAACGTTCAGATGGAATAGACACATCTGCCAATTCCATTGCGATTTGGAAAGATTCTATCCATTTATCAATCGACGGTGGAGGTTTTTTGTCATATTTCTTGTGTATCTCCTTCACGCATCTAGTGACATTATTAAACAATGCTTCAATCAGCGATGTTGAAGTATTTGCAATTACCTGATACTTTGAGTCATCAAGATACTTATTAGCCTCTTTAGTTATCCATGTACAGGCATATCCATATGGATCCACTATATATCTTATGAAATTCTCAAAATTGCTTGTCTCCAAAAGATCGGTGCATAATTCAATTATGACTCTATTTTTTACTTTCGGCAGGAAAGATTGTAACTTATCAGTAACTTTATTCGGCATACTTTGAGAAGTCCATTCGTTTGCAAAATTATCTATGACATTAGAAATAAGTTTTGCAACTATTTCTTCAATTTCGCGAGATTGTAAATGAGACTCAAAACTGATTTTCTGTTGAACCCTGTATTCCTCAAGTATGATAGCAGTACCATGCGTTTTGAAATAGGTTTCATTATGGTGTTCAAAAATTGGATGAGCATACCTGCTTACATGTACATAAAGTTTCATATAAAATATAGGTTTAAAAGTAGGTTTACCGTCTCCTTTTAAAATAGAATCCACGATAGAGTTTAGGTCATGCATTAATATGTTGACAGACGTTTCTGATACTTCATCATCAACTTGACAAAGTTCTGTAATTTTTCTATCAACGGATTCAAATATTTGATTTACGCTGTCCCTGACATATTTACGTATATCAGATAGTCCAAAAATTTGACAGACAAAATGTTTTCCCTTTTGCAATAATTTTTTGTTTACGTCAGATTCGCTTATTCCTGTTTCAAAAAAAGAATTGGCTAATGGTTTTGCTAATGGGGATAAGAAATCGGTGGCCTGCAAAACTGTCTTAAGCAAAGCATGGTTTTGACAAAAAATATTGTCAAGGCATGTTTTGAATATATGTTGCATTTTTATTGTACTCTTTTCTGAACTTGTAGAAGAAGTATCAACCTTATTCAAAAAGTCTTTCCAAATATCGTCAAAAAGCTTATCTATCAGTTTTCTACTTAGTTTCTGACCTTTGTGAGCATTTGCAACTTCCATAGATCTCTTTCTTAATTCCTCTTCGTGCTTTTCTTGACTTGTAACAGTCAGAATTTGTATAGATCTTTTCACTTGACATTTTTCTACATGATGTTTGATGTTCTGTTTAAGTTTGTCACACAAAACGTTTACACGAACTTTCTGATTATTTTCCCATTGAATGATGATGTCTTTATATTTATTTCCATCAAAATATGCCTGAATTTTCTCTGTAGTTTTAGTTCTCTCAGCCGATAGATGACGTTCCAAATCACTTATCAGTTTATATGCTACCTTTCGCAAATTTCCTTTTTGATCACAAATAGCAAATCTGCTTTGTGAGATTTGTGTTAATTTATCTTGAATAAGACTTTCAAGCCTCCAGAGTTCATCTTTAACAACATCCTCCATTTGCATGTAAGCTTTAATTTCAAGACTATTTCTGAAAGAGAAAACAAAATCTTCGTTTAGGACACCTTTCCATAAATTATGCGCTTGTTCAACAATATCATTTAATGATTTGTAAGATTTGTTCTTCATTGTTAAAGCCTTCTTCAAGATTTTGCATTTGATATCCACTACACATTCACTGTATTCATTGTTCACTCTTGCCATCGGTGGATTACCTTGCCATAAATTCTTAAGATACCATACTTGTGAATTAATATCAAATTCAATAACTTGGTTGAATGTTTTTATGTCATTTATGCCTTCACTTTTCGCCGATTCTTTCGTCATCTCATCTAAGGTCTGCAATAATATGCTTAAACCACTTATCATGTTCTCTGATGCTGACGTATCGGTCACATTTTGGTGAACTAATGCGCAACTCTTTCTAATATCTAATTTTTCATTTGTCATTTTCAATCTCAGAAAGGCATGAACAATCACTTGTAGAATATCTCGTATTTCAATCGCATTTTCTCCCATTACATTAAGAATTGTAATATCACCTACACCGGTTATTACGGTAGCCAATTCATTGTCATGTTCATGCTGCACATGGCTTAACTCAGGTGACCTCAGACCTTCTGTGTCGACAATAAGTACATAGTTAAACACGGAAAAGGTAGCTGCAATATCTTCGGTTTTTGTAGGAATGAGCTGAACATGAATTCCTCTAGTACACCTACCGGTTCGTGATGAAAATTGGGATCCAAACATGGTGTTTAAAAGCGTTGACTTTCCGGAACTTTGCAGGCCTAAAACGCCGAGTGTCATTACTTTACTAGATCCTATAAATATATCAACCATTTCCAGGACTTTTTTTGTCCACAGGTAAGGCATGTAAAAGCTTTCACCATCTATAAGCTCAAATGGGTGTCCATCAGCAACAAGGCGAGCGATAATACTAGATGTTTGTTGTAAACTTGGTAATCCTAATATTTTTGTATCTTCTTTGAGTTCTAAAATGGCTTCATTTATATGACTTATTTCACGAAAGAAATGTTGAACTGCAAACGATGCTTCATCAATCTTTCTTTCTAGATCTGTTATCACATGTTCCTGTTTTTTTATCTCCTCTTTTGCCAATTTTTCAGCACTTTTCAGTGTTTTTAGCTTTTCCCAAGCACACCGATTTGCATGCATCAACTGGGGTAATACTCGCCGTTTTTCTCTTTCAATTAAAAAATGTAACCAGGAAAGAAAATATTTTAGTAATAAGGGGAAACTGTTGTTTTTAATGAGAATGTCGAGAAAAAAACGAACAGATTTAGTAATTGATGCTATTTGCTGTCGTCGCACTTTTCCAATTTTTACATCAATATTGTCTACTTCTTTAAAGTCTCTCTCTCTTTCTCTCTCTTTTAAAGGCTTCCCCAACTGTTTTGAAAAAATACCATGGACTGGTGTTAAGTGTTGTTTCCAACCGTTTGGCTCACCCTCCGCCTTCATTTGTTTGATTAATTTAGTAGCTTGCAGCTTGCCTTCTTGACATATTTCGTCTTCCTCGTCCGTTTTAATTTTTGCTAATTTTGCACGTAACAATCGTTTTTCAAAAGACATAGTATCATTTGTTTTTAGCGTATTTGATATAGTTTTTGTTACACTCGATAACATGTCCATGACATTCTGTTCAAAATTACCTTTATGTGTACTTAATATTCGTAAATTGAATTCTGATTTTAATGATGTAACATCACTCTGAAAGCTCTGAATTAGTTTAACCGCATCATGGTTTAAAGGGTCTGCAATTATCAAAATAACTGAATTTAGTGGAAGAATAACATCTTTAACCATTTTACTGTGTTTCAAAATCGTGTCTATGTCAATAATAATTACAATAGAATCTATAAAGTGGGAAATGAAAACCAAAAATTCTTTACTAAAATCTTTGTCTAGATCACCCCTTAGGTTCAAAAATGTCATAACATCCTGAAATCTATCTTTTTTTTCATCGATGGTAGGTAGCCAAAATATTTCAACCTGCCCATTACTTAGTTGTCTTGGTGTCATTCCAGAGGGACAGTCCATATTGAAAAACGTTTTACAACCTTGACTTAAAAGAAGGCTATTGATCAGTTTTGATTTTGAATAGCGAGGGCGACCCAACCTTCCAAATGCTAAAACATTTGTGGGCAGATCAAGGACATCACTCTCTTTACCATGTCTTATGTCTTTATTGGCTATTCTTTGCTTACTTTCTATGGCTAGGGATCGCAACGGCCAAACAGAGAGTACTGGAGTTTGCTTCTTGTATGTTCCCCAATTCTTATATAAAAAAGGTACAGCCAGTTTGCAAAGATATAGTTTTTGAACAAATATTTGTTTCATAACGGGATCACAACATTGGAAAACAACATTGAGTATATCTAGTGGACTGATGTCATGATTGACTTCTGGGATTTCCAAAAATAATGATATTGAGTCCTCTAAGTTCAAACTATTTTCAGTATGTTCTTCTTCTGACACTGTTATGTCTCTAGATTCACTGTGAGCACACATCAAACGCTTCAGCATCAACCAAGGAATGTCGGTTAAGGATATCCTCACATTTCCCTCCTCAATGGATTCGTTTGGATCAACTGCTATGATGTCTCGCATTGATATTTTACCAGGGTATTTGTCTGTCAATCCAAGCCTTTGCAGAATTTGATAAAAAATCTGGCCTTCATTTACAGTAGAAGCTGCAAACATAAAAATCACTGGACTTACACAATATATGTTTAATTCAGAATCAAAAATAATGTTATAGTTGAATAAAATAAAGAACATCAAACGAAAAAAAATCGATTTTGTAAACGCAATGTGTTTTGTAGTAAGGCAACTTACTGCATATAAACCCAAAGTTTGCAAATTGCAAAAATGCAGAAAAAATAGTTCTATATGTATCTTAAAACTTTGAAAGTCGTTTTTGACATGTAGGGACTAGGAATATATTTTCTCGAGACTCGTTCACCATTTAATGTATGCCTTGACCAATAAAACGTGTGCAAATTCGCCCCCTTCGTTCTTTTTAAAAATAAATTGAGCAGCACAAGATGACCGAATAATGAAAATCGTTGCAATACTTTTATCTCAAATTGTCTAAACAATCGAACAAACAATTGATTTTTAATATTAATTCTAAATATATATTCTTATTATCGCTTGCATATAGTTGCATATATCTATAATAGCTGCCGGTTTCTTTTTGCCACGCCAGTTTTTGGCAAATTCAACCCCTATTTTTACGCGCTTTAAAAAAATGAAAACTATCTTAAATTGTCATATTTACTAAATGGTTTAAAAGTTAATATGTTTTGTTTTTCTATCTTTAATACTTTTTTGTAAAAATGCATTGAAAGTTTGCATTTGCCATGGCAAAGTGTGTTTTGCCATGGCATTTCGGCATTTTGCCATGGCAAATAATTTGCCATGGCAAATTAGAATTGCCATGGCAAGATTTTTCCTACTTTTGCCATGGCAAATTTGCCATGGCAATTATTTTTTTAAAACCTCACAAAACATTCTAAAACTTATCCTATGACATGTTATTGGTGCTATTGTTATGTTTTTATTGCAATCTCTAATTTTTTTCATTTTGCCATGGCAAATTTTTGCCATAGAAATGCCATGGCAAATTTCTGCCATGGCAAATTTGCCATGGCAATTCCATGGCAAAAATTTGCCATGGCAATTCAATGGCAAAAATTTGCCATGGCAAGTCCATGGCAATTACAAAAAAGTTTGCCATGGCAAAATATTATCAATAAAAAAAACAACATTTTTTCTTTGAATTTTTTTTTTAAATTATTAAATTGCTATCCAAAGGAAAATATAGTCAATTTTTGTAAAATGTTTTAGTGTCATTAAAAAATGGTCTGTGGAATGTTTTAATTTTCAATTTTATTCTGATGGTACTATATTTACCAGGATTGGCAGGAGTGTAAGAATTAAGTGGCCCATCATCAAATCATACGGAATCAATCCTGCGCTAAACTATCATTTGTTTAGGATATTAACCTCAATTTAAGAAGGAATGTTCTAGTTGAAGCGAAAATGGAAAAGTTACCGCCCCTTAAAGAGTACTCATCAATTGCATTAAATCAAAACACGAAGGGGCAGGGGACCTAAAAATGAACAATTTTGTAATTCAGTGTGGCTAGAAACACAATTCCAAATATTTCAAAATCTGTTTCACAGGCAGATAACCAGTTGCACAGCATTATTCAATGATTTATGACATACATTGAAGAAAATAATAGTTTGAATGCATTGCTCCTTAAAAAAATGACTGACAGTAATTTATATTTACCCCCACCCAGCCAAAATCACACCTAAAATATACCAATATGGGCAATCTTCATGAAGGTGCAGCATACTCTAGAATCCCGCTCGATTCCTTAAAAAATATCACTTACACGCAGTGCAAGCTATGGCATTTTTCAAAAATGACCAATAAAGTTTC